TGAATTGATTCCAGATAGCCTGGTCTTTATAGAATTTGTTCATTTAAAATATAAAATTTATTACTTTTCTTTTATTATAAAAAAATACATAAGAATTCTAGAAACTGGAAAATGTGGTTTTTAAAGAAGAAAATAAAATTATCCCCAATCTTATAACTATTGATATTCATTCTTAGTTTTTATTTACTTTCATAACTATCTATTGTGTTAAACAGTAAGCCTTAGGCAGAAAGCGGGTCCATTCATTCCTGTTCTCTATCCTCACCTCTTCACAGTAGCAAGCATAGTAACATGTTTTAAAAATACAAACATTTACAAACTTAGAAATCAAACTGTATTCACATATTTTTTATTTTTTGTTGTTGCTGTCTGTGTGTGTGTGTGTGTGTGTGTGTGTGTATTTTTTCAGGATTACTTTTTGTTACTACTACATCATGAGCATCAGATGTATTTGATCTGAGAAAAAACAGATTTGTACATTCGATCCTTTTTGCTTCTGAGACTTGTTTACCCGAGGCCTCTCTGCCTTCTCTGTTTTCCCCACTATTCCCCAGTCATAATTTCCCCTCTTATTTCCTATTAGCTTGTGTACCTGCCCTCTACTAGCTACTCCCATAAGGTATAGTAAACCCTCACCATCATGTGAACTTTTAGATAACCTGACTGGCAGTTGGCTCCCATGCTCCACTTAGTTGGGGTGAGCTCAAATTGTACAGAAAGAAGCAGGAAAAGGAAGGGAATGAGAATCCCAACAGGCAAGGTAATAGCAATAACTCCACCTTGGTAAACAGGGATGTGGAAGCTGGTCCTTGAGTCCTCAGTATGCTTTCCAATCTCATAGAATCAGTGATCAAACTGGGTCCCAACTAATGGAAATTCCTAATGTTATTGTGCTTCTCTGGCCATCTCAGGCAATGGTTAAAAAACAGACCCATTGATATTTTAGCCAAAGTAAACAAATGACCATCAAGAGATACTTAATTTCATATCATGAGCTGGACCCTAGGAATTGGTCTTATATATCAAATTTTTGGACCTCGTTTACTATGTTATGTCAGGCTTTTTTCTGTTCTTTTTACAAAATTCAAATGATAGATAATATTCCTCTTCCAAATAATATGCTTTACTTGAGCTGTTCATTTCTTTACCTAGGAATAAGTATCATCCACAATGGGAATTATTATTATTATTATTATTATTATTATTATTATTATTATTTGAGAGAGAATTTTTTAATATTTATTTTTCAGTTTTCGGTGGACACAACATCTTTTTTTTTTTTTTTATTTTTATGTGGTGATGAGGGTCAAACCCAGCGCGCTAGGCGCATGTCAGGCGAGCCAGCGCGTTAACGCTTGAGCCACATCCCCAGCCCTTTTTTTTTTTTTTTTTAAGAGAGAGAGAAAGAATCTTTTTTGTTGATGGACACAACACAATGCCTTTATTTTTTTTTAATATGGTGCTGAGAATGGAACCCGAGTCCCGCCAGTGCTAGGCGAGCACTCTACTGCTGAGCCACAACCCAGCCCCCACAGTGGGAATTCTGATAGATAAATAGTGACTGCCTAAAGTACAAGATTGAGAATGGAACCATGTCCTGGCTTAGTCGGTCAGTGTGTGGTGATCCTCTGTTGAAGTCTGCCATTGGTAAAGAAAGTTGAAGGGAAAAATATGTACCAGGTACCCCTCCTGAGGATCTTACATTTTTCCCACTCACCTTTGATTTAGGACCTTCTACTTATGCTGAATTAGTTCATAGGTGATCTCACAGTCTTGTATCTTTAACCCTTATCCCGCATTATGTTGTTCCAGACATAGATGGGATCCCTTTCCTTTACACACACACACACACACACACACACACACACACACACACACGGCCCCCAGCCATTTGTATTTCAATCATTATTAAAAGACTGGTCATAGAGAGGTTACTCTGATATAAACCAGAGACATTAAGACTTAATGTCTTAAAGACTTAAGACATTATAGTCTTAAAAAGTTCAGTTCAGCTAAGGGGCTGGGATTGTGGCTCAGTGTTGGAGCGCTTGCCTCGTACATGTGACGCACTGGGTTCGATCCTTAGCACCACATAAAAATAAATAAATGTGTTGTGTTCATCTACAACTAAAAAAAGATATTTTTAAAAAAAGATCAGCTAAAATGAACCCTGTGATGTTGAATCAGAATACAGTGCATTAGTATGAACTCGTTTTTAATATGTAAACACAGTAGATGCAGAAATATAGATGTGTTAGTATACATACACATAGGTTAGTATACATGCATCTGTGTTCACCAAAAGAGCCAAAAAGTAATAATTTACCAGTAGTGAAAAGCTCACCAGGCACTAAATTTGATTTCTAAATACCATTCTCCAATAAAAGGAACCAGGGTTTCTTAGAAGGTTAATTGGTCTGGGTGCCGTGGCGCATGCCTGTAATCCTAGTGGCTCAGGAGGCTGAGACAGGAAGATCCTGAGTTCAAAGGCAGCCTTAGCAAAAGCGAGGTGCTAAGCAAGGGAGTAAGACCCTGCCTCTAAATAAAATGCAAAATAGGGCTGGGGATGTGGCTCAGTGGAGTGTCCCTGAGTTCAATCCCAAGTATCCACCCTACAAAAAAGAAGGGTTATTGGTCCCAACACAGCCAGAAAAAAAAAAAAAAAAAAAAAAAAACAAGTCTGAAACATCTTCTGAAGGAAAAAAAATATTTTTCTTAACGTGAATCTTTTCTAAGATACACAAGAATCAACATAAAGAAGCTCAGAATGGCCAAAACTGGAACAATCTTAGCAACAAAATAATGATCATATTGAATTATAATACATATAGCAAAATACATATCCCTAATATCCCTCATATAGTTTAGATAAATAACTGGCTAAATAAATAAGTGGGGTAGGGGATTCTCTTCCTTAAAGTAGAATTATAATTCTACGCTAGATTGATAGAAATAGAAAGTCATCATTAAGCAAATAACCGTGATAATTGCTCCAGATATGATATATTGATGGATGCAAAAATTAGTGAACAAAAATTTGAGAAGAAACATACTTTGTATAGTCTCAGATTATCTCCAACTGCCACCTTTGGAGATCAAATGTAACTATGTTTTGGGTTTAAATAATATTTGTTTTTCTCTCTTACACTCCCAAGTTTGTGAAAGTTCCTATAATCCTATTTCTTTGTTTTCTTTAAATGATGACTATGGGCATTAACTCTGAATCTGGACATGTCTAAAATTATCTTCATTTTATTCTTTTTCTTTGAAAATATTGTTAGAATGCCTTTTAAAACCTTCACTCCTTTGTTAATAATCTGGTTTTTGTTTTATTTTGTTTTATAAATAGTAGGATTTTACCCTTCATCTTAGTTTTCTAAAATTTTACCTGCCAGTGCCTAGTTATGATCTGGGGTTTTTGAATTTGTATTTCTATTTAAATTTGTTTTTCTAGGTAGCATTCATAGGCCCTTTGGAAGTCTTTTTATTGACAAAGAGGTATTTTATTCTGTTATTTGAATATTTCCTCTGGCCTACTCCCACCATTCTCTCCTTCTAGAACTCTTAGATTTTCCTAATAGTTGGTAATTCTTGGTTGTGTCCTTAATGTTTGCATTTCCCTTACCTGCTCAGCTTCCTATTTGTTTGTGAATGCTTATCTATGTGTTTTGTTTTTCTTCCTGTGGTTACAGACAGAGTTGCTCAGTAGTACACCTGGACATGGGAACTCTTGCTTCCTTTTCGGGTACACAAATCTCTTGGGTATTTCCCTGCTTTTAATATCTAGGTGTTACCATTCACTGAAATTGCTTTTGCAGTTTACTCCATAGCACAGTAGAAGAACAAAGAGAAGAACTGCCTAAATATAAAAGAAAAATCACACTGAGTGTTGATTTGAGATTTCCTTCTGGTCCCCATATCCATTTTCTTCAAGCTTAGAGCAATACTGAAGCCTATCTCACAATTTATAGGTACCCTCTTCGAAAGTTTTGGGTAGTGGTTCCTTCCTTCATTGTTTCCCCAATTCTATATTCTGTCTTTCATCAATTCCCCCAAATTTTCTGGTCCATTTAAAGCAATTCAATTTGTTAAATCAGCATGGTTATCAAGTATCTCCTTTGGGTTAGGGTTTGGATCAGGAGAAAATGGCAACTAGATAAACTTGTTTTGATCCAATAAGACACTACTTTTCAGACAAAATATTATCCAAAGGATTACTGTAGTAAACAGGTAATAACAAAACAATCTGGCTGAAGCAGAGGAGGCAGTCCTGAGCATGAATTGCTTGATCTCTTCTTTGCACTTCACTGCAGTTCCTGAGACCTTCCATGGATCCTAGAATTCTGCAGAATAGTTTAGAAATCTCTAGCAGGATTTATAGCTCAGAGCTCAGGAGTATCTGTCCCTAGTGGATTCTTTTATTTTTCTTTATATATATATATACTTATTTATTGGCACCATGATTGAACCCAGGGGTGCTTAATCACTAAGCCACATACCCAGCCCTTTTTATTTTTTTATTTTGAGACAGGGTCTTGCTAAGTTGCTTAGGGCTTGGCTTAAGTTACTGAAGCTAACCATGAACTTCCCTCCTGACTCAGCCTCCCAAATTGCTGGGATGTATTTGTGTGTGTCTATCTCTATCTCCATCTCCTGCCCTTCCCCTCTCCCTGGCTGTAGATCAAACCTAGGGCCTCACACGTGCTAGGCAAGTGCTCTATCCCTGAGGTATACCCCCCAGTCTCTAATAGGTTCTTTTTTTTTTTTTAAAGAGAGAGAGAGAGAATTTTAATATTTTTTTAGTTTTCGGCGGGCACAACATCTTTGTTTGTATGTGGTGCTGAGGATCAAACCTGGGCAGCACGCATGCCAGGCGAGCGCACTACCGCTTGATAAATAAATAAATAGTAGCTATACATATATGTATGTGTGTGTATTTAAGATAGGGTCTTGCTGAGAGCCATAGCCAAGTAGGAATGGCTTGAAAGGTGATGCCAGCAAGCCATTGAGATGATATGATTATGTTAAGATGTGCATTCAATTGGAGATTAGACCCCTGCTGTCCACCTGGGCCTGCTACTTTGGAGCTCTCGGACTCCCGGAGAGTTCCCATTGGTTGGGGAAGTGCGGTAGGAGGGAATTCCGGAGGAAGGATTTCCTGTTGGAGTAGTGTGTCCCTGGAGAAGGCTGCGTTTGTGGGACTTGCAGGAGTTTTGGAAATAAAGTTTGTTCCTGCTTGAGTGGCTCGTGATTTTGTGCCCAGCCAGACTGCAGCAGGGTCTCACTAGATTGCCCGGGCTAGCCTCAAACTTGTGATCCTTCTGTTTTAGCCTCTAGAATAATTGATATGATAGGCACATGCCTATGTGCCTGGCTACAGCAATCATTATTGTTACTATTAAAACATTGCCCCCTCAACCTTAGACCTGCCCAAGTCCTGAGACCAACTTCTGCTACACTCTTAAGGTCCCATACTAGAGAATTTTTTTTAAAAAAATTAAAGAACAAATGGCAACTGAGTAACTACTAAATATACCTAAGTGCTCTCTCAGACATTTAAAATATCATCTTGCTTAATCTGCACAATGACCCCATGAGACAAGCATTTTGATCTCCAGAATGTAATAAGGAAGTAGTGGCTCAGAGAAGATAGGCAGGAATGAGCAAAAATTAAAATGTGTAAGAAATGTTCTGATAGTCCATTTCCTTAAAACCAAGTTCTGGCATGATCCCATTGGAATGGAGGAAATGATGTCTCAGTCATCAGGAGCTTTCCGGGTTTGAGGGTCTTGCCCAGGATGAAAAGCTTGGAGGGGACTGTCCTGTCATCTTCCTTGCATCTGCACAGCTCTGCTAAATGCCAAAAAAAAAAAAAAAAAGTATACTCTAGATTGCACCACTCTGTGGCTTCTGTGTGACCTGTGATGCCAGGAACTTTTGAGAAGTTGGAGTCCCAATATCTTTAGAACCTCAAGATACATTCCACCACACAGCCATGTTCTGTGAGGACCAGCTTCCTCCTCCAGCCACTGTACCAAGATACTCAAAACCTCATGAATTTTTTCATCCCTGGCACTCACTTTATAGTGTAAGAGACTTTTTTGTCTCTTCTTTCTTTCCCTCAATGTGTTCCCTTTCTCTTCTTTTCAGAATATCTAGCAGAATCTAACAGAGTTTTTAAGCTTTTACAAAATAATTACTGCTTCATAGCTGGGCACAGTGGCCTTCGCCTGTAATCCCAGCAGCTCCGAAGGCTGAGATAGGAGGATCAAGAGTTCAAAGCCATCCTCAGCAATGGCGAGATGCTAAGCAATTCAGCGAGACCCTGTCTCTAAATAAAATACAAAATAGGGATGGGGATGTGGCTTCGATGTTAAGTGCCCTGTACCCCTGGTACTGCTACTAGTACTACTACTACTAGTGATAATAATAATAATAACTGCTTCATGGAACTTTCTCTTTTATTTTGAGGAGAAAAAAAAAAAACTCAGCCAGTTACAGTGGTGCATGCCTATAATCCCAGCAACTCAGGACTGAGCAAGATGATCTCAGCAGCTTCAGCCAGACTCAGCAATTTAGCAAGACCCTAAGCAACTTAACAAGACCCAGTCTCAAAATTTAAAAAAAAAAAATTTAAAAGTTGGGATGTCACTCAATGGTTAAGTGCCCCTGGGTTCAATCCCTGATACCCCAAAAATTTTAAATTAAAAACAAAAAAACCCTGAGACATGGGGACTGAGGGTGTAGCTTAGTAGAGCACATGTTGAGCATGTGTGAAGTTCTAGGTTTTATCCCCAGCACCACAAAAAAAAAAAGAAAGAAAGAAAGAAAAAAGAAAAGAAAAGAAAAAGAAAAACAAATCTACACCAAGAAAATACCAAATCTAATGTTGAGAAAGGAGTTGGTGAGTACAGAATATGGATAATTACCTCAGTAAACTTTCCTGCCACAAAATTTCAGTTACTGATCCAAAGCCCTCCTAACACTAGTAAGAAACAAGAGTTAGGATTCAAAAACATTCTTCTAGCTATGCACACATTCAAAATAGAAATTCATGAAAATCAAGCTCCAGTTGTTGCAGAACAGATGCTTCTGGGCAAGGGAGAGCAGCAGCTGCAAATTCTAGGTGAGCTGCCCTATGACCACTCATTGAGATGGCAAATGGGTGAGACCCAAGGATTTTGAGTCTTATCAGGGTTTGCAATCCAAACCCACAACTGACTCACCTATAGCAAGACATTTCATCAACTTACACTAGAWAAATACAGTACTTCCCAAGGACAGAATATAAATTATTTTCGCCTCACAACTTTCACATGATTTATGCTTATGTAAAACTGTACTTTCCAGAAATGAAATGACAGTACTATTAAAGAGCATCAAAATGGAATAAACCCAGTAAGTAAGGGGGAGGTAAAATGAAGTGACTTTTCTACATGGATATACTTTCAGAAGATTTTTAAATTATATTCTTTTCAACAATAATTTCACATTTCCAGGTAGAAGGTTTTTCTTTTAAGTTTTATTTCAAGCAACTCCAATTTGTTCAAATTAATTTATCCCTTGCAATATCAATATGAACTTGATTATTCAAATTTAAGGAGTTTAGCCACTGAGAAAACAGAGTCACTTAGTTTTGGTTAAATCTTTATGTTTACCAAAGTATTTTTATATTTAACTCAACTGTAAAAAACACATTAAAATCTTTTTAAATAAATCGGGAGGTAGAATGAGCCCTGAACAACCAAAATAACGAATTTAAAAGTTCAAGTTTTCATAAGTCAGGCTTTTGAACCCACATTATTTTGTTTACCCAGTGCATTTTTATCTGAATAAATACTTTAGACATATAAAATGTGAAGAGAAAAATAAGAAAAATTGAACATAGAAAGAAAAATTCTTCTGAAGATCTACCACCCAAAAACTTCCACTAACATTCTTATTTTATTATATAAAATATAGACAAATTTTATATATGTGTATGTTCCAATATTCCCACTATTGTTACTATTGCTATTTCTTTTATATAGCCATCAACAGTATTTTCATTGTATTCTCTCTTTATTTTTAGTTATTGTAAAATAATTTCCTCCATTTTAAAAATTGACTCTTCATAATCCTTTTTAATGACTATCTAATACACTATTGTGAACCTTCATTATTCATTTAACTAATTCCCTATCAGAAACAGAGGATTTTCTGATTTCTGTACCTTCCTCCCCATCTGGCATTGTGGTATGTGATGGTGCTAAGAGTTTCTGAATACCACAGGATAAACATCTTTGAGTAATCAGTTTTCTACAAAATTGAAAAAGGAGATTCGTTTTAACGTAAACCTACCTTAGACATATTATCAAATGTAATTAAAGGGCCGGGGATATAGCCCAGTAGTAGAGCACTTGCCTAGCATATACAAGGCCATGGGTTCAATCCCTATCATTAGAAATGATTAAGTAAA